GTAAAGAAAACTTTTCCGTTTGCCCATATATATATATATATATTTTTTTATATTTTTTTTTTTTTTTTTTGTGTGTTAATTTGTTTTTTGCTGGCGTGTATATATATATATATATATATGTATATATTTGTGGATTTCTTTATCCTGTTTTTCTTTGCCAAATATATAATGAAACTATTATCAACTTATATGATTAATAATATATATATATTTTTTATTGATATTTATTGTTTTAGAGTTTTCGTTTTAATATATTAAATAATATTATTTTAAACATTTTTATCTTTATATATTTGCTCCCTTAAGTTATAATTCAATAAGTGGTTAGCATTTATTTAAGTCTGAAATATTTACTGGTTATGATTTCTCAATGTCTATGCCATTGTGGATGTATGTTTGTGTATATATCGGTGTCTATGTGTATGTAGAGTGTATTCACATTTAACTGTGTGTGTGTATAAGTGTTAGTTTCCACGTCTCCTTTTTTTTTCGTAAAGGGCTGTGGAGTTGTTCATGTATTCCCCCACCTCTTCCTTTTTTTTTTTTTTTTTTTTTAGTGTTTGTGTTTTTGTGTGTGTGTGTGTGTGTGTGTGTGTGTGTGTGTGTGTGTGTGTGTGTGTGTGTGTGTGTGTGTGTGTGTGTGTGTGTATGTCTAATTATGTCTAGATGCGTATGTATTATAATCTGATTGTGATTTTGTTGTGTCACGCGTGAGTTTAAGACCATATTCACAAACTTTAAAATAAAAACGGAAAAGAAAAAAATTTATACATGTATTATCAGATGACCGGACGAATTGTAGCTTTTTGTCTTGTCAGACGTAATTTCAATGAAGAAATGAATTGAATAAACATATATATTTTTTTTCTTTTCTCAATAATTTTGTAGTTTTAAACTTAATAGTGATTAAATTTGGATTTTAAAATTGCCAGTTTTAATTTTAATATTAAAGTTTATCATATAAATTTATAATTATTAGTTAGTAAAATTATTTTTAATATTACACGTATTTAAAGATCTAAATAGCTATAATAGCAGGATTTTGTTGTCAAGCTTTTGAATCTTTCTGTACTTCGTTTTGATTGGTTATTCTAGCTTTTGTAACAATGCTCCCCTAGTGTAGGATCGTTAATTAATCTGAAACTTTTAAAACCATTTATTTTATTTTCAACACCATCACTTGATAAGACACAGAGTGTGTTGAAACAAAATGGCTATTTTTGTAGTGATTTTATAACATACTTATGTTATAAAATTTTTTTATAAAAATAATTATATCTGCTCTACTTTGTATTGAGCACTCTTTTAAGAATAGTAATTGTTGGTTATTGGAATTCATTCCGTGTATACCAATTATATACTTTGTTATATATATATATATATATATATATTATTTCCTAAATATTATTTTTAATGGGTATTTATATTTGTGGACGCATATTTTTCTAAAACGTTTTCTCGACTATTCAGACCTGTAGATGTAAATACATAAATATACTGTTTAATAAATAAATAAAAACAGATCACCTACTCAAATATAAAGTATCCATTTAAAATAACATTTAAACAAATAAACTAAATATATATATATATGTCGTATTTAAGCCATTACTAATACACACACACACACGCACGCACACACACACACACATATATATATATATATATATATATATATGTATTAGGAATGGCTTAAATACGACATATATATATCAACATACGGAAGGTTGATTCATGAGTATATACATGCACACACACACAGACATATATATATATATATATATATATATATATATATATATATATATATATATATGTGTGTGTGTGTGTGTGTGTGTGTGTGTGTGTGTGTGTATTCCATATGCACACAGGCATACTCATATACGAGTCAAGCCGAGAACTTTTCAGCTTATCCTACAACATACGTGTGTGTGTGTGTTTCTGTGTGTAACTTATATATGTTATAAACACAAACATATGTGCGTTCGTGCAAGTGGGTGTTTATGTGTGTGCGTACATATAAGCTAGATTATTTGTAAATACATACACATGTATATATGCGTTTGCATATATAAACTAGTTGATATGCAAATATATAAATTTACTTATGTGTGTGCATATGTGTGCGTGTGTATAGTCGTTTGCAATGTCAAGGACAACTAGTCAGTTACTCATCAGGCGAACATGAAATATCACTTCTTTATTTTTGTTTCTTTTTAACTTAATTTATTTGTGATTTTCGTCATCTCTGGCAGAACTTTTCGTCTCGGACTATAAATTATGTCATTTCGCGTCCTCCACAGCGAGTTTTTAGAATAATTTATAAACGTTCTGAACGTTATTTCAAATCAAATCTGTGTATAAATACAGGTTACTAAATAAAATTTCTGCAGATGCCTTGATAAAGTTACTAGTTTTGTCTTATTTGTATTGTCTTTACAGATATTTATCTGGATTTTTACATAATTCCCTCTATATATTTATCTGGATTTTTACATAATACCCCCTCTCTCTATCTCTCTCTCTCTCTATCTATCTATCTATCTATCTATCTATCTATATATATATATATATATATATATATATATATATATATATATTTATATATACACAAATAAAGTAAATGCTCTGTTCATAATAAACAGTATTAAAAGTATTAGTCATGTCGGTAAAGAAAAGTTTTTTTCATTTTTGCCTTTATTAATATATGTATATATATATATATATATATTTAAATAAAAAAATTTAAATTTAAATAAAAACGGAGCATCTATACAAATATGAGTATCCATTAAAAATAACGTTTAAACAAATTAAAAATATTTATTTAAACCATTCCTAATACACACACACATACATACATACATACACGCACGCACACACACACACACACACATATATATATATATATATATATATATATATATATATATATATATATATATATATATATATATATATATATATGCATATATCAGGCATCCCATGTGTGCACACAGACATACTCATATACGAGTGTTTGGAGAAAAGGCCTTCTTGGTCAAGCCGAAAACTTTTCAGCTTACGAATCATCCTTCCACATACAGAAGGTTGATTCGTGTCTATCACACACACACACACACACACACACACACACACACACACACATATGCATATATATACACACACACAAATACAAACACACACATACACACACACACATATATATATATATATGCTGCACACATATACATATATATATATATAAGCTACACACACATATATACATATATATAAATATGCGTCCTCCGAAACAAAACAAAACTCCCTTGAAAATGGCTAAAGAATTGGCCGAAATCATTTGGGACAATGAAAATTTATGTACTCCCTTTACTCCTACGAAAGGGAAAAACGTAAAGATGCTGGAAAAACTAAATAAAAAATATTTGTCTATATTTCTGAGATGAGGTATTATGTACAATATTTATATTACTCGGGCTGTTGTCCTCATCTTTGTCGCCATATTTATTACAATATATTACATATTATTACAACGATTCGGCCTTTGTACGCTCCGGCCTTCTTCAGGTGGTTGGGATATTGAACTGAAGCCTTTATTTCGCTCACTGGGGTAGACCGTTCTAGTTCCACGTGCCATGTCTACTGGATGTCCGTTATCATTTATCTCCTGTTAATTCCCCTCTCCAAGCTTCACACAAGTTCGCCAGGTTTGCTGCCTTCCCCTATCTCCTCCACCCTCAATATGCCCCGTGAGTCTTCTTCAAGCCTTCTTTGGTTTGGTTTATTTTGTTTTTACGACATATCAACCTCAGTGGGTTAATTAATGCCGACAACATTTTCTATTGCTTGTAATATTTTGTTTTGTCAAAAATCTGTTTCTGGTAATAATTTTCCTTCAAAATTTTATTGCTGGTAATGATTTTTTCAAAAAACTATTGCTGGTAATATTTAACTATTTGCCCATAGATGGGACCCTAACAGCTGCTACCACCCCGGCTCAGGGTGGATCTGGGAACACCAGCAATTAAGAGGTGGTTCCACGCTCCTCAAAGCCTCCTGGTCAGAGGCCTTGCTGCTTGACGTAGTTTATCGTCTTACGCGGATGTAGTTTAATGTCTTACCCAGGACGTACCTCGCGCTGGGGTGTTTTAGGCGATGGTCTTGAGGTGATCATAATAAAGTTGTCTTCTTCTCTTTCATCTCTCTGTTATCTTCCTGCCAGGCGATGGTTAGTTGTTTGTTCGGAGGTAAAATGAAAACTTCAACAAAAGGGAATTTGACTTATCTATTTTATTAGACACGTCGACGTGTACATTTTTAACTGAGAAGTGGTTTCACTCTATCAGCCGCACTGGGGAGAAAGTTCCTCCAGACACGAAATAACCACGTCTGATCTCTTCGACGTGTAAAAATTAACTCCTCGAAAACACTTTCTAAATCTAACAATCCCACGTTCGGCTAAACCAATCAAAATCAAGATACCTAGTTTGTCTACAAGCTATTTTATCTACTCGTCTGAAACTATTATTTAACAATTAATTGTAATAATAAGTATAATAGTTATTTAATGCCAAAATCTACACATTTTGTACGTAATTTTACGCCTTCAGTTACAAATATTTTGTACCAAATTTTTCCTTTCTGGGTGAACGTATGTCTTTTTTAGATGTATAGTTTATAGATCATAAAATGAATTGTTGGTAATTTTACTATAAAAATGTATTTATAGTTTTTTGTTTTTTTTACATTGGTTGTCATTGTGTTATAAAAATGTATTGTTGGTCATTTTATTATAAAAATGCACTGTTGACTTTTATTTGGGTGGGGGTCACAACAAACAACAGCTGCGTTTTTGTGCCTTCAAAAAAATGTAGGCATTTTTGCCTCGCAATCCCTTGATAGTGAATTCCATCATTCCTGAATCCTCCCCTGTGCAAGATTTATAAATCTAAGCAAACCAAGTCAGTTTGATTTGGTTTGATTTAGTTTATTTTACGACATAACAACCACAATGGGTTATTTAATGCCTACAAGATTTTTAGGATAGGTTCGTTTGAATAGATTATGTATTCTTTGTAAGAAATCAGTTTGTAGATCAGGTCTTTGTATCTATTCTGTTTTACGGCATATCAACCACAATGGAAAGAGCTTGAGTAAATGAATGGCAAAATAAGGTTTTAGGACTGAAAACAAAAAGACAAAATTTATTAAGACCTACAAAGGATACGATACTGTGGAGAGCCATAATCGTCAACAACCTGAGTGGACACGGCACATAAAAGAAGAAAGAGCTTGAGTAAATGAATGGCAAAATAAGGTTTTAGGACTGAAAACAAAAAGACAAAATTAATTAAGACCTACAAAGGATAGGATACTGTGGAGAGCCATAATCGTCAACAACCTGAGTGGACACGGCACATAAAAGAAGAAAGAGCTTGAGTAAATGAATGGCAAAATAAGGTTTTAGGACTGAAAACAAAAAGACAAAATTAATTAAGACCTACAAAGGATAGGATACTGTGGAGAACCATAATCGTCAACAACCTGAGTGGACACGGCACATAAAAGAAGAAAGTGCTTGAGTAAATGAATGGCAAAATAAGGTTTTAGGACTGAAAACAAAAAGAGAAAATTTATTAAGAGCTACAAAGGATAGGATACTGTGGAGAGCCATAATCGTCAACAACCTGAGTGGACACGGCACATAAAAGAAGAAAGTGCTTGAGTAAATGAATGGCAAAATAAGGTTTTAGGACTGAAAACAAAAAGAGAAAATTTATTAAGAGCTACAAAGGATAGGATACTGTGGAGAGCCATAATCGTCAACAACCTGAGTGGACACGGCACATAAAAGAAGAAAGTGCTTGAGTAAATGAATGGCAAAATAAGGTTTTAGGACTGAAAACAAAAAAGAAAAATTTATTAAGAGCTACAAAGGATAGGATACTGTGGAGAGCCATAATCGTCAACAACCTGAGTTGACACGGCACATAAAAGAAGAAAGTGCTTGAGTAAATGAATGGCAAAATAAGGTTTTAGGACTGAAAACAAAAGACAAAATTTATTAGAGCTACAAAGGATAGGATACTGTGGAGAGCCATAATCGTCAACAACCTGAGTTGACACGGCACATAAAAGAAGAAAGTGCTTGAGTAAATGAATGGCAAAATAAGGTTTTAGGACTGAAAACAAAAAGACAAAATTTATTAAGAGCTACAAAGGATAGGATACTGTGGAGAGCCATAATCGTCAACAACCTGAGTTGACACGGCACATAAAAGAAGAAAGTGCTTGAGTAAATGAATGGCAAAATAAGGTTTTAGGACTGAAAACAAAAAGACAAAATTTATTAAGAGCTACAAAATATAGGATACTGTGGAGAGCCATAATCGTCAACAACCTGAGAGGACACGGCACATAAATGAAGAAAGTGCTTGAGTAAATGAATGGCAAAAAAAGTTTTAAGATCGATAATAAAAAAAATACTCATAGTTACGAAAGACAGGAAATTGTGGAGAGCCATGATCGCCTACGTCCTGAACGGCCATGGCACATAAAGAAGAATATTGTTGTAAAGATTCTTATCATAGCAATCCCATCTCCTTTGTCTGGGCGAATGATAGAGATATTCTTATTTAGGGCTAAATTTTCTTGGCCTTTCATTTCTCTTTATCGTAGCGCGGTTTTGTTGCGAGTTAAAAATCACTAGAAATGTTAGCCAAAAATAAATATTTCAAGAGATTTTTATGTTTATACATTCTTTTTTATAGATACAAATATCTAAGTAAATGCTCTGTTTATAATAAACAGTGTTAACAACATTTACCGACCTGAATGTTCGAGAAATTGTCATGGAAAATATGCGTCCTCCGACAGGAATCGATAAAAGCATGTCAGGCTATGTGACGGCTCCGTATAGGATACAGGTTCGATTCCTATCGGAGGACGCATATTTTCTATGACAATTTTTCGGACATTCAGGCCGGTAAATGTTGTTAATACTGTTTATTATAAAACTTGTCATAGAAAATATGCGTCCTCCGATAGGAATCGAACCTGTATCCTGCCTCGTTCTCTTTCTCATTTCTTCATGTCCGCGAACACACCTACAATGTAAGCTCTTGCAAAAGATAGCGTTTTCCCATTCGTGGGAGACGCCATGAACATTATACACACATACACGTACGTACGAACTTTCACCAACATACTGTGGAATCGTGCATGGATTCCACCCTTTTGCGTATTGCACCCCTTCCTTTCAGATTCGGTTAGATATAGCAGTAAAACAGCCAACGTGAGGAGGTTGCTTACTGGCTACTGCTGATTCCAGCTAGAATCAGAATTTGAAGTTTTCCCGCGCATTTCTCTGACGTCACTGACAAACTTCGTTTTTCAAGTCAGTCGATGCTTGATTTTCAAACTAGAAGGTCGACTCATTTATTCCGTGCCCCTGACTCATACGCGGGCCGAAATATCTTAACTAACCAAAACCTTCAACATGTCGTGTGATTACAACTTTTCTTCAAACAACTTGTTTGAACTTACCTCCGTTTTTCTACTAGAGAACGTAGAGTCTACGACACTGTCGGCATCACACTTTTCCAAGACTAATTCCTCGTCTTGGTGCGAACTACTTGTTCGAACCTTCCTCCATTTTCTACCAGAGTCTACGACACTGTCGTCATCACACCTTTCCAAGACTAATCCCTCGTCTTGATGCGAACAACTTGTTCGATATCTCCTCCGTTCACTACCAGGGGACGTAGAGTTTTCTTCACTGAAGATAGATGAACTTTTCATACACCTCTTTTGAATTCTAACCTTTACGAACCAGTTTAAAAAAAAAAGATAACATTACACACACATTACTAAACCTCGCAGTGAGTATTTTTCCTTGTTGTGTATGCTTACACCTTTTGTACAAGAAGACTATATTCCAGAACCATTCCTTCTGAAGAAACTTTTCCCACCTTAACCATTTTGGTTTTTGTTTTGGCGCGGAACTTTAACATTCTACTAGTCACTACATAATACAATCTGCCTACTGGCTAAGAACAGCCTTTGCTTTTCTGATGGTCCCCACTGGGTGAGACCAAATATTTGTTATTAAAATAAAGTTTCATATTTGTTTTCCACCAGACTCGTTTTGTCGTTTCCTCCTGGCTATCTATATTTTACTATTTTTATGCATGTGTTAAATGACCCTTTTTCCTCACTAAAGATCACACATTTATTATTTTTACTTTGTTAGTGGATTCGGTAGTCGTAAGTAGTGTCTGTCACAAGGCCACCTTTTCGTAGGCCAGCACTGCAAGCTACCGGGTCCTCTACAATACAAACTCTTTACGTCCACACACAAACACAAATTTTAATGTCTTTGTCACTTGTAAATTTGCTGTTTCATACATATATTTGTTGACATATATATATCGGTCTTGTTTGTTTTCTTTACATCTTCTGTTGGTCTAAATTTGAGTCCGCCATTTTCTTGTTGCTGGACCTTCTTCTAGCAGGAAATAAACAGTACGTGTTCCCAATACAACAACACTCAAACCCACACGACCCTCTACACACCTGTCATATTCCAAAGGACGAAATATCGTATCTGAAATAGAGATGTGTCTCTTTTTATTCTAATCGTTGTTTCTTTTGCTTTTTGGTTTTTTTTTTACCTTAGCGATAAATGAACAGACATAAATAGTCTAATTTATTTAGTCTACCTGTTATTATCATTTTAATCTTTTTATTGTAAGGAATGTGCGCGATCGTTTCTATCCCGCCTTGAATATACAGTCAGCCTAACAAAAAAACAAAAAAAACAAAACAGATAAATGAATTTACCGTGAATGAAATTATCTGTCGGCTTTTCTTGTACTAGCCTCCCGCCATTTAACAGACCCCCCACCACTCGTTGTTTGAGCATTGTTTGCCAATCAGTTCGTTCGTTTGCTATTTGTGTTGTATTTGACCTTGCTATTTTACTCTCCGAAATCTGGAATTGAAATCTCTGTCCCTTGTTAAATAAGTATCAACAATTTTACTTAAAATACAATAATTAGTCTAACGATAAACGACTTTTCACCCAATCACTTTTCACACTTTCCAGTTCTATAAAGATCTACATTATTAATTTCTATATCAGAATTTCCCTTCAGTTTTTTTTGTTTTTTTTAATAATGCGAAGAATATTTTGATGATAAAGTTTACTTTTAGAACAAAATCTTTTAAAGACGCAACTGCAAAAGGCAATTCACAATTATTCATGGAATTTTGAAACTCAGCATCAGGTTATGCAGGTTATATAAGTTGACTAATATATAGCTATATATATATATATATATATATATATATATATATATATATATATATATATAGACATATACTACGTTGACGTAGAAATCAACGCAAATCAATTTCACGCCTTAAACAATTATCAGACCTCTGTCTTTTTTTTACAAAAGTCGATCACGATATTAAACAAATGATATCTTATTGTGAGACCCGAACTACCTACACAATAGACTCTTCCAGATTTATATTAAGTATGCGACACAACACTCTAGAGTGACATAGAGAGAGACACAGAGAGACAGTGAGAGTCACGCACGACTACCAGTATTGGACACTAACATATAGTAAGCTCCGCTTACACTATCTCTGTAACCTCTTGTTAATATATCTTTCTTACATCTAATCCGTGTTTTCCTTCTGTGGTCCCAACTTTGGCCCCACATCATATCTATATATATATATATATATATATATATGTTATATTCAGCACCTCAACTTCAAAGTTTCATAGACAAAATTTCGTAACTATTCAGCCCACTCTTCAGGAGGTTTCAGCAATATATAAAGGGTGATGGAAAAGTAACTCCCCATTATAAATTACTTATAATTTATTTATTAATTATAATTTTTACAAGAAATGGATATGGAGAAAAGCGTTTAGTATGAGATTTCATTTAAAATTCGATGTGGACACCAGATTTCGCTACCAGCTTCTCGAACTGCCCAGGAATCGCGCCAGTTGATTTCACCAGGAACTCTTTGTGGTATGGAAAACATAACTTCTTGTATTCGCCATTCTAGTTCTTCTAAAGTCTTGGTTTGTTATAGTGGAATGACTCATTTAACACCCCCTCCCTCCGCAAAAACAAAGTCACAGGGTGTTAAGTTCAGGCTGGCGACTCATACATAAAATAGTGAGTTTCTTTTCAATCACCCTCTATATATAATACAAATAAAATTCGTGACTAGACTAATTGATGTTTAGCGATTTTCTAAGCACGGGTTAGATGTGGCACAAGGCCGAAAGTGTGTGGAACCCAGTGAGTATCTAACTCACTGCTCAGTCGTAACTGATCTAGCAAGACAAGCTTTCTAACCATTAAACCACGTCAAGGTGCCCATTGATGCTATATTCAACACCTCAACTCCAGACATTAGTAGACAAAATTTTCCGTAATTGTCCAGTCCACTCCAGGAGGTTTCAGCAATATATATATATATATATATATATATATATATATATATATATGTATGTATTTATGAATCAAAATGCCAATAGGAAAACTGGTAATTGCTGACGCCTTTAGTCCAATGTGGAATTTATGAAAGCAAAAACGAAATTTCGTATTTTGCTTTGATAAAGTCCACATTGGACGAAACGCGTCAGCAATTACCAGTTTTCCTTGTCATCATTTTTTCATAAATATTATCTTCTCTACTGGTGAAATCGGAGAAATTTTCGTATGCATGTATGTATGTATGTATGTATGTATGTATGTATGTAAAATGTATATATATATATATATATATATATATATATATATATATATATATATATATATATGTGAAAATATATAGAAAATAGGAAAGAACTGGTTAGGTAAATACTCCAAAGTTATTTAGTATTTTTTGTTATTATTTAAAAAAATATATATATATATATATATGCAATTTTATATATATTATTTATGCATTATATATGCTTGGTACTTATTGAAAAGTGATCAATATCAGTGATGCGTGAAACCCAGGCTCACAAACTCGCATCAATCCAACTATATATATATATATATATATATATATATATATATATATATATATAAAAGACAGAGAGAGAGATCCGTTTATTTTCTTTTTTCAACAATTTATATTACTTTTAAAGGTATTTGAGAGACGTAATAAAGAAAATGTGCTCAGCAGGAGGGTTCGAACCTACGGCCCCTTTATAACATAGAATAATTCACACTGTTAAAACAAAACAGGCGTCTGCTTAAAAAACATGTATGAACTAAACATATTGCTTTTTATATATATATATATATATATATATATATATATATATATATATATATATATATATATATATATATATATATATATATATATATATATATATATATATATGATACACCCTGAAGAGTGGACGGACAGGTCTGTCTACGAAACTCTCTGGAATCGGAATGCTGAAGGTAACATCAATCAGCTAAGTGACAAATTTTGCTTACATTAATCCTATATATATATAGGTGTGTGTGTATATGTGTGTGTGTGTGTGTGTGAAATCTCAGATATAAGTAACATATATCTGTAAAAGGACAATATGAATAAAGACAAAAGGCAAACTTATTTTATCTGATGTGTTTCGTCCTCGGTTGGACTTTATCAAGGCAAATGTAAGAGTTTTATTTTGAAACAAATATTTAGAAAAAGTAAAATTTTTGTTAGTTTTTCAAAAATTTTAAATTTAAGAGACGCTGATAAATATTCATCAGGTTAACTGAAAAGTATGGGTAAATTATGGAGGATGCTAATTGGCGTAATTTCCTGCCTAATAAACTAAAGTGAATGATGTTGAATTTTTTATGCCATTAACATTTAAATCATTTTAGTATGGGATAAATTCATGTATTATATATTTTAAATAACTGAAGGTTATGAATTTAACCGTTTTCTTTTAAAAATTTTAACATTCTTATAGTTATGAATTCTGGCTTGGTGAAGAAATAATTATTTCCGGGATATTTGAAAGATTTATATTTTGATAATATTCGAAAGTGGCACTCTTGAGAATTTTTCCGTCTAAGTTATTTTCTTTTTTAGTAAGTGTGGCATTTTTTAGAACAAAGGCGTTGTTGGATTCATTTCTATGTATAATTAATGCATTTGATAAATTGCTGTGTATAAGATCCCTTTTGTGTTCATATATATATTTTTTTAAATTCCTGCAAGTTTCCCCAATGCAGTGTGTAGAGCAGTTATGGTAATTATTTTATATATAACTGCTTCAGAATTATTATTTTTCTGTGTATTTTTTGGTTCTGATCATATCCATAATTGTTTTGGAAATAGTTGTAATTATTTTGATATTGTTAAGATTGGATAGATTGTTTAAGTTATTAGATACTAAGGAGTCGCTAGGTAGTATTACATGTTTGTTTTTATCTAATTGTCATTGTTGTTAATAATGTTACTATCTTTTTGCAGTTGTATATTTTGAATGCCTTTCTGTTAGTATTGTGAATGAAATAATGAAGATATTAGAGGTTTTTGAAAGTGTTTTCTATGAATGATTCTTACTCGGGTAAATATTGGGGGCTGCAGATTCTTGGTGCTTTTAAAAAGAATCATTATAATTATTCCAGATTTTATGCTATTACAGTGGTGGGAATGAAAATTGATAAGATCATTCTTGGTGGTAGATATTCTGAAAAAGAAATATACATAGAAAACAGTTTCAGAAACCTCTAATGTCTTCATTATTTCATCCACAATGTTAAGGGAAAGGCATAATTTGAAATCAGGTGAAAAATTTGATTCTATGCAATGTTCTAAGTATTTTGACCATCGTTGGTTGTTTTCAGAGAAGAAATATAGAAAGTCGAGACACTCGCCAGCTTATCATTTCTGTTGTTAACTTTCTGGTATTTGGAACGAACATGGATTCACATGCTACGACCATGGAAAAGATTTTAGCGTCGCGAAAAATTGTTGTATTGTCGTCTAAAATCTTACGGGAATTAGAAGGGGTGTCATGTTTCATTTACATGTAGCACTTCCCTGAGAGATGACAAGTCAATCTTCTCAAGAGAAATGTAGTGATATGGGTTCAGTGCGTGAAAGAGGAATATTTCTTTATTATCATGTCGGTTACACCATTTAATGGGCCGGGGGGTGCTATGCGAAATAGAGGATATTTTCTATTTATATTTCCCCCATTATGAGTATCATGATATCCATGATATAGTAATGCCTTAATACACGAACGGAAGAGAATAGCTGAAAGAAAAGGAATGACAAACATGCTTTGTTCTCAAAGAGATTTTTATACTAATGAATCATACACAAAATTATATACAAATATTTATATTCGTCCCACACAGAGAAACTATAACACATGTATACAACAACAAGCAATATCCTTGTGACTTTATCTCAACCAAAGGGAGATAATCGCATTTTGTATCTCTACAGTAGTATAACCAATACATGTTGATTATGTTTTAGTAACAGTCGCATTCTCCTAAAAGACAACAGGAATGATATACATCAGTCCTTTGCAAAATTGTTTGGGATTTTTTTTAGAATTATTAGTAAGCTAGTTAAAAACTCACTAAAAACCTTAACAGACATTCCGTCAGTTCTGTTTAATAGAGCAACTTTATCTATCTATCTATCTATCTATCTATCTATCTATCTTGTTAGATAGATAGATAGATAGATAGATAGATAGATAGATAGATAGATAAACTAATAATCTATCTATCTATCTCGAAAATTCATTTCTGTCTCACTCAGTCTATTCATATTTAAGTCAAAATCTATGCAGGCTATGAAAGGATAGCGGCTCGGAATGATAAATCGGAGAGCCGAGTTCAAATTCCAGTCGTTCGTGACATTCACTTGAGCGTATATATACCTTAGGAAAGGTATGAATCCATTAATTATCATCCCCGAAGCTATGGGTTAAATGTTAGGATTTGTATATGAAAAAATCATTGTTATATCCAACAAAATTGTTAATGCAATATTCACTCGCGAAAAAAAAACTAGTCATACAATCGAAAATATGTTTCAGCTTTAATTAACCCACAAAGGGTTGATAAGCCGTAAAAAATCAATCATTCATTTCATCTCAGTCTATTTATTTGTCTTGCCCAGTCTGTTTATATCTAAGTTTACTCTTTTCTTTCGTTCTATCTATCTATCTATCTCAGTCTCTTCATATTTTTTCATCTCATTTTTTGCGAGTTAAACATCGTAGCTAACACAAGTTCTCCATTCGTACATTTCGAGTTTTAGAAGTCGGAACGTAATTTTATAATGCTATTTTAGAGTACTGAAATGTGTTTGGCTTTTGCGTGTTTCTTTACAATATTAATATCTCCACTCTCTGAAGGTTAGGTTAATTGGGGTTGGTTATTTTAATAACCTATCAACTCTTGGTAGGGTATTTCAAGCCGAACGTAAGTCTTATTGTGCAAAATAAGTGTACAATAATGGTAATTCCTCATGTAAATGGTTCAGACTAAAACAAAGGTTAGAGTAGATGCTGAAGGTGCAAGTTCACTATAAAGTGGGTGACAGCTGTCAAAATGGCACACTTGTTAGTATTTACCGTAGCTCTGATCGTGGTCTTGGTTTTTGTCACGTACAGAGTTAGGGTCGTCAGGTTACAGTACACCCAACATTGGCAAAAGGAAAAAAATAGAACAGCAAATAGACGAGACCAAAATGCAAATTACAGGTCGGGGATACTAAAATCAAACCGATACACAAATTTAAATATCTGGGAATTGTTCTAACATAGAACGAAATGTGTGATACTGAGATCCGACGACATACTGGGATGACCAAAGATGCATTCCAAAAGCTAAGAAGAGTATTAAGAGACAGGAAAATTTCGTTGGAAACAAAGAAAAGAGTACTAAACTGTTACTTGATATCTGTCTTCCTATATGGCAGTAAATGCTGGACAATCTCCTCAAAGATGAAGAAGAGACTTGCAGTAACAAAAATGTAGTTCTACAGAAGGATGCTAAGGATACCATGGGCTGAACATGGGGGCAACAACGAGGTTTTGGAGAGAATAGAAACAAAGAGGAAACTTATAATTAACATAAGGAAGACGCAGTTGAAATTTCTGGGACACGTAATGAGAAAAGAGGGTTTGGAAAATCTGATACTCACAAGACGGGTAGAGAGAAAGAATGACAGGGGAAAGCAACGCGTGGCTTACTTAATGGGCTTCAGCAAGTGGATGGTGGAACAATATCTGGGAGAAATAACAAAAAGATAAAATTTATTAAGAGCTACAAGTAACAGGAGGAAGTGGAGGGCCATAATCGCTTACGTCATGAAGAGACACGGCACATAAAAGAAGATCCTCATGTTTTAATGAATAGTGATTTTCCAAGCGTAGCTTTGATGTGGCACAAGCCGAAAGTAAGGGACACCCAGTGAGGATCGAACTCACTACTCATTAGTAATTGTTCTAGCGAGACAAGCTTGCTAACCATTACACCACCTCGAGGTGTCCACATGTTTGAATGAATCTTTGGAGGAACTTAAATCATAGTCTTGCATCCCTTTCTGCTTTTCTGATGAAAAGTAAAATTGTAAAAGCATTTATTGTTACTATTATTTTGATGGAACGACTCAAAGACTTTTTTTTCTTTTTGGGCAGAGGGGGGAGATTTCTACTTTCAATGGGAGGTACGGTGGAGTAATGGATAACGGCTCGAATTCCAGTCGAATTCATTGCATTCACTTACGTGCTAATACCCCTTGGGAAAGGTATGAATCCTCTTCTACTGCCCACCCTCCAGCTATTTTTTCATATATCCGAAAACGTACTGGGATGGCTAAAGACGCATTCCAAAAGCTAGGCAAAGAAAAGATTACTGAACTGTTACGTGATATCTGTCTTCCTATATGACAGCGAATGCTGAACAATCTCCTCAAAGATGAAGAAGCGACTTGAAGTTTGGTTCTACAGAAGGATGGTAAGGATACCATGGACTGAACATGTGAACAACGTTGAGGTTTTGGAGAGAATGGAAACAAAGAGGAAACTTATAATTAACATGAGGAAGAGGCTGTTGAAATTTCTGGGGCACGTAATGAGGAAGGATGGCTTGGAAAATCTGACACTCACAAGAAAGACTGAGAGAAAGAGGGACAGGGGGAAGCAACGCGTGACAAAATGGGCTTGATCAAATGGATGACAGAGCACGGTCTGGTAAAGGTAGCAAAAAGACAAAATTATTAAGAGCTACAGGGAACAGGAGGAGGTGGAGGGCCATGATCACCTACGTTCTGAAGGAACATGGCACATAAAAGAAGTAGTTTCTGCCTTTGTGGTCTTGTTTTTTGTCACGTACGGAGTTGGGGCCGATAGGTTACACCTCACAACGCAAAAGGTAAAAATAAAACAATACATTAAATGTTAGTTGTTCAACTAGTTGTAGCCAGCTGGTGACAAACAAGTATTTAGTGACTAACAAGAATGTAAACTTGCACTTCCAGATTCAAAGCCAAAAGCAGTTGTTTACATTTGCCTCGTTTTCAGGTTTGTTTCAGAAAAAAATGGCGTCTCTCTTCCTGAAACAAGAAAACAAATATACAAATTTTATTTTTCTGCTCGTGCATTTCAGTTGCTTTTCTATTTCCAAATGTAAAAATAAAATATGAAAAATAAAATATTTTTAAAATTCAAATTAAAAGAATGCATATTTCTTTTTCATTAGCTCTCTCTCTCTCTCTCTTTCTCTCTCTCCTTCTCCCTCTCTCTCTCTCTCTCTCTCTCTCTCTCACCGAATGGGAAGGTAACTCTCATATAAAAAGCAGGAAGCAGTAAAGATTGAACAACTGTTGCAAAAAGGAAGTTTGCTAATCCAGAGTCTAGTTATCGTGATTAGAAATCAACCAAAATAAGAGAGACACCACGCATAATTTCCGCTATAAAAAAAAAGAAAAAGAAAGAAACATTGGAAATTAAATAAGAGAATTTAGGCCAATCAAAAGAACAAAGATACTGTTGGTGTTAGACGAAACTAAACTTCGCGCCATGTAGTCTGGAGTCTTTCTTAAGAGTATATAAAGAGACAGCCGACAGACAACAGAAGAGAGGGGTCAACCAGAGAAACTGGCCAAGCGTTTCGCGTGAAGAAACAAAGCGGTCATCTGATTAAGACATTTTCCGCCCTTCGTGAGGACCGAGAAAGCACAGCATTTAGCGTCTGCAACATGTTTCCAAAGTAAGCACACTCCGGACTACTACCAGATCTGACTCGTAAACTATCAACTACCCCGCCGAACAAACTTTTGCCAACCCGATTTACAAAGAACTCGCACCAATCGAAGTCAAATAAACATTTATTATTTGTTTATAGTTTTGATTTTGTTCATTTATTCCAAAGTTTACACGCTTCTCCACAATGCCACATATTCAAGCTGGGATTAAAAAATAAAACACACACATACACAATTTTAAATGCTATTTGAAAAGGTGAATCCTCCCATCTTCAGAGATTGGTGCAGTATAATCTTAATTCAGTCTTGAGATATCTCAGGCTAAACTTAACACATATTAATATATATCTTTTCTAATTTTTGATGATGAATTGTAACAAAAGTTATTTAAATTTAGGAAGTATTCGATTTAACAGCAATATCAAAATATAACAGCCATATTGTAAGTTTGCAATTGCATTGGTTATATTTTCCGCTTGACTAATCAAAGACTTTTATCTATACAATCAATGTTGTCGAAAGTTATAAATAATTCTTTTTTTTAAACCATTAATGTTTTTTAAAATATCTAAATTAAGATGAAATGAAAAATTAATGTATTTACAGCTCTCTTCTCCTCTTACAAATAAGTTATTCTGTTAATATTCGACTAATACAAAACATTTCCGACTATTAGTGTCGTATAACTCCACCTGTTACTTTGACGTCGGAAAATTTCATTAAGAAAGGGAGATCAGGTTGCGTAGCCGATAAATATATAAAGTCATACTATTCGTTAATTTCAAAGGCACTTCAGCATGGGATAGTGAGCAAATTTGGTTGAACTGAGTCCAATCCTCACTGAGTGCTCCATACTCGGGTATATCATAATTCATGATTTCACTGACTTCTCTGGGAACTGGCTTAACAATCAACCTGCAGGGTGGATTTTCAGCTTGTCTTAATGATTTAAACAAGTTCCTTAAATTAATTTTTTTTCCCCTTTTAAAATGAATAAATTATATGTATATGACTTTCTTAACATGTATTACTGGTTTTTTGGTATGAATAATTTCCTTAATAATGACAACATTTCATTTTAATTTCAGTCAACACATTCAAGAAAGAATTTATATGAAACACTAGAAAAAAGAAAAGAAAAGAAAAGAAGCCAAAGGTCACAAACTTCAAACAAGCAGACATATTTCCGACATTTAGAAAAGTATGTTTCAAGACATTTTTTTCGAAAGAGGCATACCAAATGTTAAATAAATTAGAAAATTAAATAAATTGGGCAAAAATATAATTTCTAGTTGAAAATTAAACATACATCGTTTATTTAAAAGGAAATATTTTCTAACAAAATTGGTATATGGTCTGGAGCCCAGAGACGGATACGCAATGTAATTGGCCCTGATCTGGCATCTCATCTGCAGTCTCTCTCTCACAGACGTACCGTTGCCTCCCTCTGTCTTTTTTACAAATACTTTCATGGTAACTGCTCCGATGAGCTGCTTTCGCTGGTTCCCACACTTCATGAATTTAAGCGTTCAACTAGGCTGGCATCTCGCTCTCACCCTTTCATTGTCGAAACTGTTAAATATAGCCGTCTCTTCTAGTCCAATAGCTTCATATCTCGCATTTCTCGCCTGTGGAACACCCTCTCCTTTTCCTGTTTCCCTGATAGTTATAATCTCCAACTATTCAAATGTAATGTCAATCGACGTCTCCAGATGCCTTGATCTATCCCCTATCCTTCTCTTTATCCTTTCCTTCATCACTCTTCTTTGCTCTCGCTTCAACTCTCTGTAACCCCTTGCGTGCTAGTGGCTTCCCACCTCCCTTGGGGTGAAGTGCTAAAAAAAAATCTCTAATTTTAAAATATAAATACCAGTAACTGAAAATTATATTAAAATAGAAAAAAAAAAGTTACATTTAATTTTGTAAATTTGTTTTTTAAAAAGTCAGGAACAAAAAATTATTTACACTATTTATATCATTCGGACTGTTGTCCTCATCTTTATTGTCATATTCACGATGTTTAGGCCGTTATACGCTCTGGCCTTCTTCAGGATCTGTCTATATTTCTTAGATGAATTATTGAACCTATTACACTATTTACATCGTTCGGACTGTTGTCCTCATTTTCATTATCGTATTCACGACATTTTGGCCGTTGTACGCTCCGGCCTTCTTCAGATGATATACGTTGGAATTTTGGATCGAACCCTTTATTTAATCCACTGGGGTAGATTGTTCTCGTTCCCCGTGACATGCGTTTTCTTGACTTCACCTTGGTTGAAGTAACCCAATGACTTGACCCAAAGAGTTGTGAGTTCAATACCTGGCCACAGCAGAGGTGAACAAAGACTTAGAGAGTTGGGTTACTCAAGGGGAAATAACTAAAACTGAGATATCCAGAAAAGGCATTGAACTAGAACAGTCTACCCCCGGTGGACTAAAAGTGTTCGGTTGAAAATTCCAACATGAACAAGGCCGGAGGAAACAGTCGAAACGTCGAGATTATGACAATAAAAATGAGGACAACGGTCCGAATAGTGCAAATAGTTACAATACTCAGAAATATAGACCGATGACAAAAAATTATATATAAATCAGTTTCCGACTCGGTGTCCATTCTGATGACACAACCATTTATTCCCGTTTTAATGGTGAGTCTAATTGGTTCGATAGTCAAATTGGCGGCTGATCTCGAAAATGACCTCCAATCTGTTGTTTAATGGGGCAAGAAATGACTTATTAATTTTAACGCTTACAAAACGAAACTGTTCCCTTTTAGTAATCATAGAGAACCATTCTTGATGGCTGATGCTAACCTACAAGAGAGTAACTTACTGCGCCTCAGTTAAATATTTTCCATTGACATGAAGTGAAATGATTATATACTAAAGTTTATTACAATCTGCACTCTAACAGTATTTAAAAAAAAAAGAATTTTAAATTGTTTCTGTGTGTAAAAACTACAAAGATTATTTCTTATACCCACAACTCGGGGTCTTGGCTGGAATTACTTCCCCACTGCCATAATGTACTTACCGTGTTCCTTTTCTACAAATATTTCATAACAATAATTCTGATGTGCCTTCATCTTTGTCGCCTTAACTTCACGAATTTAAGAGTAGTACGTGATTAGAAGATAGGCCTCATCCTATTACTGTTTCAGAGATATCATTTAATTTTGATTCCTGGGTCCAACGAAGGGAACCATCTGATGTGTGATAGAATTCTGGCATGAGGAAGAAAATCGTATTATTATTTTTTCAAACTGTTGACGTCAGATACAGCGTCGTCGTCGAAAATGGGCATCTGGTGATAAGAGGATTTTAAGGCATGAGAAAAATAAAGAATTTGATTTTCAGGTAAAACACGGACCACCCAGTTAAAAGTTGACTTAGCAGAGAAACCAGATGTCAGGTTTTGACAGTGATTGGGGAGTCAGCAGAGAGACCCAACTAAGTGAATTTTGGGTGTCCCCAAAGAAAGATATGATAAGAATTATTTGGCAATCTGGGGTTTGCAAAAAAAAAAAAAGTTTTGGCCAAAGGAAAAAAAAGAAGAAAGGATTTTGTAAACAAAATTCTGGATAATAATTTTAAGAGGGCCAGTCAAGCCACACCCACACTGCCAAGAGATCATTGGTCAAGTGGTAGCATGGGTGATAGGCGGAGGTGAATGTATGAGAAGGACGGAGAAGTTGTTAACACCCACTGAGGAGATTGGTATCTCATACCAATGTGAGAGAGGAAGAGTCTAGGAGGATAGCTCTCCTCCGACCTTCCCTCACGGATGATGGAGAAACCCCTGAAAAGGAAAGTGATTAATCTTCCAAAAATGGGAAGTAATTAATTTTCCTGGCCTAAGAACAAAGAGAATTCCTGCTGGGAATCAAGAATTATTGAGGAACCCAAACCACATCAGGCCCCACACCGGGTTTTGATCGGTGTCCATATAAACTAACGTCCTTAGGCTGTTTAGGCAGTTGATTCGCAGTTGGAGTTGAGTTCCGGACAGAGTCAGAGTGTTGACTTGCAGAAGCTGACCGAGAGAGATTCCATGTTCTTCTGACTTCCTACCAAAAGCAAGTTATATTGACAAACGACTTAAGATGCCAAAACTCACTTAAGAAACGCAAAAGTGTCACAAATCCATAAAAAAGGGCTGAGAGAGAAACCCACTCCTGTATATAACAGACAGATAAAGATAATTTGTTATTTTGCAACATATATGAAACTCTTGAGTTTTGTTTTATTGCTTCTTTTCCCCAGATTCAGCTTGCACTACGGCCCAACGCCGGATTGATTTCGTCTACCTAAGATCAAAGTCACAACGAGAGTAGGCTAGACTCGAGATCAACGTAGTTACTTCGGTAACCAGACATTGGAAGTGAGTTGATATCGAACTGGGAACGACCAAATCAACCGGGACACAGGCTGGTGGCAGCGATAAAGAGTCAACCCCAAAACACTGGTGGAAGAAACCTTACAGCTTTGCACCGCAACTGGGATTTGACCACGGGCCAACATATTTGCGTTGCGACCAGAGGATGTCACATGGCGGTGCTGCAACCACCAGTGGGAGGTCACAACTGGATCTAACACCTTCATCCACTGTGCCATGTGTCCTTGAGGACATATGTGTATGAATTTCTGGGTATTATAAACCTAATGTCTTCAGCAACAAAGATGAGGATAATAGTCTGAATAATGTAAATAATGTTTATATCTGATATCTTCAAAAATGTTTGAGTCATTTGCTGCTAAACAAATTGCCTAAAAAAATTATACACATATATATATATATATATATATATATATTGTGCACTCACAGTTCTTTCATGTACATTTAACAAAATTTAACTTTTATGCAATAACTGGGAGGAGGAGTTGTTATCTAGATTCAGACTAATATCCTCATCTCATGTTATTACTGTAATGGATTTTGTGAATCTAGTAGCACAGTAATTCTGAGTTCAATCTCTGAACTTGGCAGAATGGACTCCATGGAAACAGGACCAACACTGAAAAAAAAACAAAAAAAAAAACAAGATGTCCCTAGACATAGACAGCAGACCATGAAGAAACTACTACCAGAAGATTAAATAAAAGGATCAGTTACCCAGATTAACTAATACCTGAAGAAGGCCAAAGAGTACAACAGCTGAAATGTTGTAGTAACAAAAGTAAATATCTTTACTATTATTTCTTCAATTATCTTTTAAGCTAGTAGGCATTCCAACAATTTTCAAGTGGATTTATTTTATCAATTATCTTAAACTTACTTTTTGCTCCAATCTTCATTTATCATTGGTGACAAATATTCTCCTGGCATAGCTTTTTTTCTTTTTAAGTTTAGAAATGAAAGGATGAGAGGAAATAAATTCACTCTTATTTTTCAAAAATGAAATATCAATTTGAAATCTGCAATAACCAGAAACAGTAAAATAAATTCAATTTTATAGATTTTTCATATCTCCTACCTAATCCCTTGGCAACACGTATATTTTCCAAGTCTATTATATATATATTTTTTAAAATTAATTTCAAATACCATTACATAGAAATAACAACGGAGTCTTTAAAGCAGAATGAATTACCTCCCTTGACAAAGTTTCATTCTCAGTGGATCAAGACATTAAATTTACCTAGATTTCATCTTCAGGTGACTAAAACTCATGCCAGTTGATCAGAGCCACACCTGAAATATGGGAATAGTAACTGAGAAAGCTGAGTTATTTCCAGATGACCAACCATAAAAATGAAACCCTATCTCTCAAAAGAACATAATCTTGTGATGAAACGGAGAAATCCATAATTTGCAATATGCCAGTTAGATATTTCTTCTGACAAATATGAGCCTCCAAATTATGATTGCACAGAATTATAAAAATTTTCAAATATTCTGGAAGATAGCTATAGCAACTCAGTTTGTTATGACATATGCTCTAGAAATGACTGTGTCAAACAAGTCCTTCCATAGCAATTAAAAGATGAGAATCAGAACATTCCCTGGTGTATATCGTTAATGCTGAGATGATAAACATTTTTTGAAATTGCTTAACACTACTTTCACTGTTGTAGGCATATATGCCTTTAAAAAACTTACATTGCCTGCTGTTGAGATTATATATATATATAATTTTCAAGATACTGTGAAATGTCAGTCTCTACTGTTTTTTAATGACGTATTTTTAAATTAAAACGAAAAGAACAAGAAATGAATGGTAGACACTCACTCTAAAATGATCAACTTGGAACTTTCAGCAAAAATGCCAAGGAGTAAAGCATGCTGTTTCTAATTTTCTGGTGGCATGAATTGCATCATCGTGCACTTTTTCTCACAGACAGTGCCCAACTGACCCTACTATACTGTGCAGTCAACAAAATCAAAAACAAACAATGCACATGCACAAAATTTTAAATATGAAATGGTAACAGTTTACCCATCACATCCTGTACATAGCAGAAGCACCCAGACCAGATGTGATGGCAATATTCAATGTAGAGATGATTGGTAGACTTATAAATCTATAATTATATATGTAATATAATTTCTGCTTGATTTATTTCTGTGTTGATTACTTAATATAATTTCTTTTTTTTTCTTTGTCTTCTTTTACTTGCAGAGGCTTTAAAAAGTAACATTGAATTGATGAAGCAGCAATACAAGACAATGCTGGATTGGAAAGACAAAATCTCCAACCAAAATGCAATTAATAAAGAACGTTACACAGAATCCGTAAAAACTATTCAAGATTTAAAACAAAGGAACAAGGATCTTGAACAAACAGCAACGAAGAAAAGGTTGTATTCTGTCATATCATTGGATTTCTTTAACACTTTTACAACTCTGGCCATACTTATACATTCTTTAAGAAATTTACATTGCCTGCTGTTGACATATTGGTCCCTTGCATTAGTGTTATAAGTTAACTAATGTTTAGTACTATTTCCAAATAGATGTAAACACATAGTAGCCCACATTAAGACTTGTATTCTGATGAAGTTATATTATATTGTGTATTAAGGGGGGATTTGACTTGGTCTGTACTGCAGAGCATGTGATCAAAACCAAAATGGCGGCACCCATGAGAAATTGCTGTCAGCTACTTTATAGTCCTTTATTTCCACTAAATTGCAATTTACTATTTTTTCAAGATACCAATGCAGTAATGAAAATGTTAAAGTCATATCCAGTGTTTGTTTTTCAACTAGGAAGATGAACAAATACGCATTTAGCTTGACCGATTTCTCATTGACACACAGACAGTTCAAATCCCAATTCACAAGAAGCTAGATAAAAAACAAAAATAAAATTTCTCATGAACAAAAAACAAATTTAATGACACTGATGAGCATGATGGGATAAAAGTTTTCATAGAAAATTCAGCAAAAGAGAAATAAAAAAAAAAGAAAGAAATAACATGTTCAATCCAATTCATTTAAACTTTGTGGAGGGATGTCAATGTTTCGCTGCTTCAGGTGTGCTGTGATGATTTGTGAGAATTGTGTCCGTTGAAGTAATTGGTAAGCAAGAGGCAGGAGGTGTTGAATGGCTGAATGCAAGGCGTTTCCTCCATGGCAAAAAAGGGCAAGCCCTAATTCCAGGCCTTCTCCATAGTCACATTCATCATTAGCAAACTGAACCAAAGTCAGTAATTCCTCCAGGGCTTCAAAGTTCTTGTTTCTCTCATTTTCTGTCTGACTCGAACAAATTTTTGTGAACATTTTTCGAAGGGAGGCTGAAAAAATGAAAAATTTTTACTGCCATTAGGTTTTAAGAGTTTTTCATTATGCAAGATGGAGGTCATTGGGGGAGAATGGTGATTAGGGGCGGGGAAAGGTCATTGGGGAGAATGGTGATTAGGGGCGGGGAAAGGTCATTGGGGGAGAATGGTGATTAGGGGCGGGGAAAGGTCATTGGGGAGAATGGTGATTAGGGGGGAAAGGTCATTGGGAGAATGGTGATTAGGGGGAAAGGTCATCGGGAGAATGTTATAATGACACAAAATGTGCAGCTATAGAAAATTTGAAAAATCTGCAAATTTTAGTTACTTATGGCATATGGATCATCAAAATTTAAATATTAAAACACCCTGCAGTATCTGTCTATATTTCTGAAATGAGGTATTATATACACTATTTACATTATTCAGACTATTGTCCTCATTGTTGTCACCATATTTATTATGTTTCGGCCGTTGTACACTCCGGCCTTCTTCAGGTGGTTGGAATGTCGAACTGAACCCTTTATTTCACTTACTGGGGTTGACTGTTCTAGTTCCACGAGCCATGTTTAATGGATGTCAGTTATCAGTTATCTCCTATTAATTCCCCTCTCCAAGTTCTCCACTGCCTTAACCGGGTATTGAACTCATACACTTTGGGTTCTGTCACTGGATCTAACCAATGCCTTTAACCACTGTGCCTTAATGTGGAACAAGAACAGTCTACCCTAGTGAGCGAAATAAAGAGTTCAGTTCAACATTCCAACCACCTGAAGAAGGCCGTAGCATACAACAGCCGAAACATTGTAATAAATATGGCGACAAAGATGAGGACAATAGTCTGAATAATGTAAATAGTGTATAAAACATCCTGAATTGACTTCTTAGCTTGATCTTCATTATAACTTGTACAAAGAACTTTTTAATCAATGTATAAATTAAAGCAGATTTTAAGGGGGGGGAACTTGTTCATAAACTTTCAATACCTTAAGAAAGAAAAAAAAAAAAAAAGACAATATTGTTTAAAATCAATCAGATATGAACTTTTCTCTATTCAGGCTGAACAGCTACTGGTCTATTCTTTGATTCAGTGTGGAACCTGGTTTTTACCATTTAGTTTTAGAGATGTGTTTCCTACTGATTTTGTGTTGCTTATTTCAAAAATTTAAATTCATTTTGCTCTATCATGTTAAGATTTTTCAGATTCAAATGTCCATTTTTCGCCATTTCTAAGAACAGATTTGGCTTTCTCAAATGCAAACCCATGTATGGAGCTTGACATTTTTTCAATGCCACTTAAAATAAATGCAACTTCACAAGTGAAACAAAAGTCACGATTTCAGTTTCTTCAGCAAATGAAAAACATCAAACTTGAGTAATTTAACTATTTTCAATCTAACCAGTTTTAAATGCCATGATGACAAATGTCCTTTATACACTTAGATGTTAAGAACACATTTTTGTGGTCCTTGACAACATGCAGGTCTCATATTTGTGGAAACTGCTGTATTTGTTTGCAGGTATGCACACACTTTGCTTGATTTAGTGTGACTATCATTGAAAACCGGGTGAGACACATTTTGTTGAACTGTTAACCATTTCTTATGAAAATTTGTATTTTGCAGGTTGTAATTATGTGGTCACATGGGTCAATGTTCCTTTTGCATCAAACATGCTCAAAGAAATATAGAAAGAACTTTATGGTATGTATGCCCTTTATGGAACAAAAAGCCACTACAATCAAATCATATGTGCAAGTAATCTGGAAGTTTTAAGAAGAGAGCTACAGGACCCTCATATGTTGAAAATTGAGGGGAGAGTTCATTTTTTCTTCATATCTTGGACTCTTGATTGGGCCTTCATTACAATAGGTAGGGAGGAGTAGATCAGATAGACAGAAGAACTCCAAATTGATCGCTGCATTTAAGTATTGCTTTAATATTTAAGCTTACCTTTTAAAAGTTCGACGATAATTCTTCTGTTGCCACTTAATTTAAAGACAATTTAGTATACAAAAGTCCTCACTTTCTGCACAAACAATTATGTTTATTTCATGGGTGACTTTCGCTGGATTTTGCAATTAATTTTGATTATTCTCAAATTTATTTCCAAGTTGTAAAAATTTTATTGTACAAAAAAATTAATTGCAAACATAAAAAAAATTGCCAAAAGCAATTGTGTTAATAAAAACTTGCTAATTCAAATTTTAGGATTGTGGATCTGGATCTGTCCTGGAATGTTTTTAATTTGTTCACAAAATCAGGCTGATTCCAACACGTGGTAGAGATAAACACACAGTTGTGGAGCAAGCTAAGTGAATAATAATCAACCTTTAGAAAGAGAGCTATTTATGTTGCCATGGAGCATCTCATTGTGCTAAAGTGGGATAGTCCATTGCTTGGGCTGTGATTGGCTGCTGGTACCTGAGTGGAGGTATTTCTATATAAATACCAGCTTGATTCATCAGTTAGTTTGCAGGGATTGTATTAAGTTCATCCCCTAGTATATTGTTGTATTTTCGATTGACGTGTGCATCGTGATTGGGAAAAAAAAAAAGTGAACGGTTAGATTTTGTTTTTGTTTGAAAATTTTTATTTTCACACCTTTTTGTTGTACGTTTTTGAGTTTGTGCATTGCTTTTTGATTTCTTTATTTTTGACCCTCCCCTCGTTTTCGTTTAAATTATTTTTCGTTTTGAACTGTTGATTTGATTTTGTTTTTTTTTCACGTGTTGTTTTTTTATTTGTTTCTATTTTATTTTATTTTCGTTTCTCCCCGTTTTACTTGGTTTTAGTTTGTCTGTTAATTATTGTTCTTAACAAAGAAAAAAAGAAGAACGTAAAGGCGAACCTTTTTTTTTTTCGTGCAACTGCCGTGGGGAGAAATCCCCATGGCGGACATTCTTCAAGCTACACCGTCTCCTACGGTGCAAACTGACACACCGTCGCCACCAAAAACATCGGCCTGGACGGGAGACAGTCCGAAAAGGAAGAACGCCGCTTACTATCAGGAACAAAGAGAGAAATATGGTGAATTCGTCAAAGGAAATGAATTCCTGACGATCCAAGAAGCATTCGATGGAGTAAAAACAAAAACCATCTCCCTTCTGACAGCAGATGTGAAGAGCCGGAAATTGGCTGGCTTCAGTAGGGAAAGTATGGAGGAGGCACTCAGAAGCCTGAAAATTGCTCCCAAATTATTGGCCAGAAGATCAAATGCCATGTGGGACATCCTCCTAGCTACAGAGCAGGAAGCCAAGCAACTGTCAGCAAGCATACTGCAAACAACTTCAATTCGTATGCAGACGGAATATATGGGCACCCGCCGAACAAAGATCATGGTGCATGGGGTGCCTATAGACATTGGAGCAGACAGGATAGGAGGATTCTTTGCCAAGTATGGTCAGGTAGAGGATGTGTCGCCTGTGACTAGCAAATCTGGCATAGCCACAGGTGACATGGCCCTGCAAGTCATTCTGGACAGGGAGGCTTTTAGGGACATTCCCAATACTCTCATATGCCGTGAAAAGAGGATGCTGGTGGTGGTGGAGGGACGTAAGCCATTTTGTTGGTCATGCGGTGTTCTGGGACACATGGCCAAGGTGTGCCCAGGTAAAAAGGTACAGCCTCCACCCCCTCCAGCTACAAAACCAACAACTGCAGTAGCAACAGCATCAGAAACAGTAACATCATCAGGAAAGGCCTCGGATGGGGAATGGGTGAAGGTAAAGGGGAAAAAGACGGCACCTTCTCCCCTGAAGGGAACGAGCAGCCGCCCAAACAGCAGCAGCCACAACAAAGAGAAGGGCAGCCCCAAGAAGCCACAACAAGAAAGGGCAGCCCCAAGAAGCCACAACAAACAGAAGGGCAGCCCCAAATCCCAGCTGCCGGAAAAGCAACAACAAACCCAAAAAAGGGAACAGCAGGCAAAAAAGTAGCGAAACAAGCAAATCGAGAGGGGGAGATGGAAGTGGAGGAAATGCCCCCACCACGCTCTTCCTCGTCAAAAAGAGGGAGGGATGAAGAGGACGAGGAGATCCCGACCAAAAAAGAGAAAGTGTCAGGGAGAAGCAGGAGAGAGAGAGAAACAACAGCATCAAGATCACCATCTCGTCCTACTACATCAGAAGAAGCGGAAGTAACAAAGTCCCGCTCTAGAAGCGCATCGGCATCTCCAGCAAGGTCACAATCCCCCATTGTGTACGCCCCCCCAACCCTTTACCCAACCCACTACCCAACTTCCTACTCAGTCATCTACCCAACCACCTTCTACTACTCCCCACCGTCAACTTCAACCCCATCCCCCTTCCAGGAAAAAAGAAGGTGAAAAAACACTTTGACAGGGTGGAAGACATTTGTAGAGTGGACAGGAAGGAGGCGGAGAGGGATCTTTCGACACAGAGAAAGACACTCTTGGGGCCTCTCTTCAAAGTTACGTCTGTGGACGGGAAGTCTCTTGAAGATCCAAGAAACTTTCCCCGAGCACCAGGGGTGATTACATGTATACGAGATACAGGGAAGCACCTGAAGGTTTGGGCCCACTTGCAAGAGGCCAAGGATGCCTTCCCTGAGATCCGGATGGCGCAGACAGGCACACCAAACTTGAAAAAAAATTATTCACCTACTGTGCAGGGAGGGTCCTATGTCTCCACCCCTCTCTTTACAGGGTTTTAAAATTAACGTACCCCATGGATGTCGGCGGGATTGTCTCGGATGGACGGATGACGTCAGAGATGGGTACAGGGAGCCTGGGACAATCCGTCAGGGTCCTTACACCCGCAGATTTCCGCCCCGTATGTGAGTAGGTTTTTGCTCTGACTCTTTTTTTTTTGCAGGCCTAGAAAATGGAAACCAAGTTAGCGACGTTAAATGTGAAGGGCTTAAGGGATCGGGGTAAGGCTGCCCGCCTGCTCCGGGACCTTCTGTCCCTGGATGTGGATGTTGCCGCGATCGAAGAGACACACTTTGTTTGCAGTGCCGATGCGTGTGTGCTGGAGAACGACTTTGTCGTCTATT